AGGTAAATGTTATATTTTCTTAAAACCCAAAACAATTTTATACATCACGTAATGAAACATTATCTTAAAATGTATATAATTAAATAATAAATCGAAAAAAAAGGATGTAACATAAATTAGAAAATTGTTTATTTTATTAAGTTATAATTTCTAACTACAGTGGCTAAGTGGCTCATTATGCAGTTTAAAACTTACATTAAAAAATGTTAAAATAAAATAATATTAATATTGTTAAAATTATATATTATAATATAATATCATGTCAGTGTCTCATCGGCACTCGTGTTACTCGGCGGTAGTGGCGTCCACCCCGTCAGATGAACAAAAACATAATAATAACGTCCATCTGCAGCACATAATAATTGGTATCACATAATAATAATATTATATCACTATATTTCACGGTGCCTAACACAATGTTTGCGACCTCCATGCAGTGGCGCTGCGGAGAAACAGCGGCGGGCACAGTAGTAGCAGACATTGCGCAGTACCGGAATATTATTATTATACCCTACAGACACCAGGCCAGGAACAAAGCGCCGCTACGTGCAGAGCGGTATAAAGTAGGTACCTACTACCTATGAGGCTATAATACGGTAGTACGTACAATGAAATAATACGACGTCTTACTCCGTATGGGTAGACACGCACACACACGCACACACACACGCACACACACACATGGTGAACGACGGCAACGAAACACGACTACGCGTCGTACGTCGTACCACAACAACAACAACAACAATAATAATGATAATAATAATGTGGTCGTTGTCACGGCGGCGGCGTGCAGGACGACGGACTACGCTCGGCGGTGTATCGTTTATTGTGGTCACGGCGCGTCGTATGGTACCGGTGCCGGCGACGATCAGAATCTCAGATCAGTCGACAGTCGTGTCGCAGCGTCGTACGAACGCGCACGCGGGTGACGGTTTCTGGTGTTGTATACCTACGACCGAACGTCAGCTGCAGACAGCAGTGATAATACTACGGCCGCCGCCATTCAAATCGATTGCTCCGCTCGCCCGTTCGTCAGCTTTTCTCGGCTCTTCCCAATCACAGGTCGCGGGGACTTGACCGGTGACGGCGATGCCGGTGCGCGCCGTGTAAAATCCTGCCGAGTGGAGCGCTCGACCGTTCCGCGTGCACGTGTGTACCGTAGCGCACCGCGTACGAAACGTTGCTCTGTTGCAGTCCGTCGCMGCAACTGTGTGCAGAGTGTCGTCGTCGTCGTCGTCGTCCGAGGTGAGTCCTAGGACCGCACGCCGAGTGCATCATCGATACCTTAAAATCTTTTTTAAGTATTTGAGTTCACGCATACACTTTAACACACCAGGGGTCACCAAATGGCGGCCCTCGGACAAACTATTAATCTGGCTTGCCAATTGTAAAAGTTTTGTTCTTTAAATTATTATTTTTTTTTTTTTGACCGTGAATCAAATTATATTTTCTTATTAATTTTTGATTTTGTTTTTGATTTTTTTTTTTAATAAACGCTTATCTTATATTTTGAGGGTCGTCAAAAACGGCAAAAACTTATTTGGTTCCTAAAGTGACTCTCCGAAAATATTATAATTATTGTTAATCCCTGCCTTATAATACCGTACWAAACGAGCCATGGTATTTGCACAATAGCTATATTATAATCTATCACGGAACAATAATATTGATATTGTGTCGTTTTTGTAKTTGTTGCACTTGCATATAGGGATAAATATGGAGGATACTGCTTACTGGGTTATCCGTGTGACGCGGTTATCCTGCAACGTCCGTTTATAGTATTTTTCGCGCGCGGAATGCGCCGGCGCGATGGGACGATCAGGCGAAAATGCCGGTCGTGTCGGCGCGCGCACACACACATGCATTTAATAATCCGGCAAACTATTCGGCGATTTGAAAATGTGAAAAATAATAAATTTCTTCTATCTCTTTTCGTGTCCCTGTCTATGAAACAAGAGGCCACACGTTGTTCTACGTCCCTTCTCATCATACGCACTAAAACCACCCTGTGCACAAAATGCTACATTACCATCATATAACTCACTTAAACTTTGTAATTAAATCAATATACTCTCTATCTCAGTTTATTTGTTAATTTATAATTTATATGTAAAATATTGTTTTGTTTTGAATTGCATTGTTTTATACTTTTTAATGTTAGTTCTCATTATTATAAACTGACGTAGTAATGTTATTATTACTATTATTGCCCACACATACTATAGATATTTTTACGCACATTCACACTATAATAATGATGTGACTTGTAAATTTTTACCAAACTTTGTAATTTCAGGATTGGTGATAATTAATTTAAAAAAAATTAAATTATGCTCGTAGATCGTCAAAGAGTTTGATAAATAATGTATATCGTTACTATAGGTATCCAATATAAAACGTATAAAAGTGTAACGTGTACGTGTGTTGAAATTACTTACTATAATGTAGGTACTATACAAAAGTTGCGACAATTTACCGTCCGTCTTCAAATCCTAAGTCGTGTTTAATGCATGTCCTATATAATACTCCCTTAATATATCTGGTCTCATTTCAATCCAGGCCGCACCTATAATTTTATTTTTTTACATCTAAAAACGCCTTAATATACCGATGTACCAAATTCCAATAGCATTAATTTAATTTAAACGTATCGGTGCAGTTTTAATATTTTTGACATACTATATAGGTATAAACGGGTATAAAGTACATCGAAATAAATATGTACATGATGACGTATAAATTCTACAGACATTTACAAAATATTGTTTTATTTTATTGTAAATTCAAAAAGATCGTCACTGAATTTGGGTCGCGAACAGAGGTTGAGAACCGCTGGTGTACTACAATTGATTAGAGTATAAGTGTATAGTAAACTAGGTAAAATATTAAAAAATAAGGTAGGTGAGTTCAATTTAGAAAAAATAAAATGGTTTACTTTTGGTTAATTTTTTAAGACATTAACTTGTCATAGGTACCCATATCAAAATAAACACTTTAATTATTAAGTTTTAAACTTGGACCAACTAACAACTATCAAGTTACTGGGTTCATTAATTCATATTAAATTATACAATCATTTTTCTTATAGATATATTGAAAGTGATTAGTTAATAGTTATATAGGTACTATTGGTATACCCATGTCCTATATATTAAAGCCCTAGACACATCAGTGTTATATAAAAGTCATATTAAATAGTATCTACATGATTTTTCTATTTGAAACAATTGTTGATAATAATTTTGTTATTTTATAAATTATTATAATTTTTGTTCACGTAGGTTGATAATTATCTTTAAAAAAAAAAATAAATACAAAAAAGATTACTACACGAGGGATATTAAATTGTGTCAACTGTCAAGTAAATATTATAGGTAGGTACCTATGTGTTTTTTCAAATTATCCATTTCAGGTTATTGATCTCTCCAGTTGGTTAAAATTAAAAGTGTGATTATTTTTAGAGATTTTATATTATAATTGATATTTAGTAMCTACCAGTTTTTTCACATATCTGATGCATAAATATTATGTTATATACATATTACATACCTATGCTAGGATTAATCAAAATAAATATTTCAATTTATGTTTTAAATAAAATCAAAATTATTACATAAACATTTTACTTTTTAATTTATTATTAATATGTGATATTACATATATATATATATTATATTATATTTGTACTTAATTTATCACTTATTTAGTTATAATGATGACGACATTTTTATAAATTAATCAGTCGATTTATTATGAGATCCACCAATTGCTGGCTTTTCTCAAGCCATAGCGTACGTTACTATTGATTACAATTAGTTTTTTTTGGATAAGTTCATATTAAAAAAAAAAATTTCTGTATTAATAAATAGTTTGTAAATAATAAATAAATATACGAACTAAATTATTATGATTTATATTAATGTATAAATATTAATTGATAAACGGCATCAACCTATCAAGCTTATAATTTTTTTATTCACTATATCAAAAAGAAGTAATTTTTCACACAAACTCCATTTGCTACTTATATTTACTAGCTTATTAATATATAGTGACATATTTATTTATCAACCTGCATTAAATTGTATTTTATATAATGAAATTAAAAACTAAAAATATGCCAATCTTAATAAATACCATAAATAAATACAATTTTACACCTATACGCATGTGGTTATCATTATAATTGTTTTTTACTTTCGGTGGTTTAATGAACTTTGCTCTTTCGCATAAAATATCGTGGTAATAGAGCTTAAAAAAATGTAGGATCTAGTAAAATTAATTTTTGGCTGTTGCTAAATATAACTTGTTTTGACTTTTTTACATACCAAACATACGCAAAACAGAGAAATTAAAAACGACCGGTTTTGCTGTAGGTTTTTATGGGCTAGGTTATTATTTTTTGGTTTTACTTACGTCATTCTAATATCATATTATTTAATTTTCTATAAGCAATTTTGTTTCATCGTGATTGGTTTTTAAGTTTTGTCCTATGTTTTTAATAATTAATAAATATTATAGACAACATACAATAGTGGTATAAATATTAAGGTTATAATGTACTAGATATAGTTGTGTAGTATACTACATTATATTTTCAAAATAAAACTAAATGAACAAATTTATTTTAGATTTTTAAATCTCAAAGTAGTTCTAATTCATGTGTTTGGACTTCAAAATTAAGTTGACACTTGGAAAAAATTATTAACTAAATGTTATTAATATGAAAAGGAAAAGAAACCTATAATTGTGTACTATGTTTTTAGCAGTTAATATACAATCAATCTATAATCAATCTATTGTAATCTAAAATAAGTTTGACGATATTGATGAAGTGTGAAGTTCATCGTCATTGTAGTATTACCTACCTATAATTGATCTTAATTTTAGTCGATTGCATTTTGTCATTTTTTGAGAGTTGTGACAAGTAGTTATATGTATATTAGCTGAGACCAATCTTCATTTCAAATTATTTAACAGGTATTGTGTCAGATTTCATCCAGATAATTATGTTGATTTATTCTCTATAATGATTTGAAATTTTTAAAAAGCTTGTTTAAGTAATAGATATTTATGCATTTATAATAATTAAAATTGACGTATTATTTTATTCTTAAAAATAAACATATTGATTTCTTTCGATCATAAATACATAACTAATAAATAATACACAGTTTTAGTCAACTCGTATTCAAAAACAGATTTATTTATTTTATTACCTAGGTACTTATATTTATATCTTATCATATTTTTAGTGTATCCAACAAATTTTATTCTAATCACTAAAGCATATTTTGTAAATTTTACCAAGTATAGAAATTATTAAATAAACATTTGGTATACATGTTGAGTGTCTACAAATATTCGTTTTCGTATTACAACAAAATAAAAAATCATTCTAAGTGAACATCAAATGTTGTAGAAATTTTAAACGGTCATAAAAATATAACTTGATTTTCTTGCAGTAAATATTTTTTTATTGATCTAAATATATGAGGAATCTAGTATAACGTTTTAAAATCTTAGATCCAAACATTTATTTTTTATAAATTTCAAACATGCAATAATTTTACGTATTTTGTCAAAATTGGAAATTTAGTTTCTCATAAAAAATTATCATGGATTTACGCTCAACTTTCTTCTATTTTTCACTAACAACAATTTAAGAGGAACTTTGCATTATATTTTCGAGTTTAGATAGAGCAAAAAAATTTTATCGACATTAATTAAAAAAAAAAAAATAGTAATAATAATCGAAAATCTCATATTATGTTTTTATGATCAACATGAATCAAAATATTCTTAAAATTGTATGGTGTATAGAAAATTATAATTAAAACAACATTCAGTGAAAATTAATGTACATACGGGATACGGTAATTAGTTTTRGAGTTATTCCTAAAACCAAAATCTAGTTTGTTGAAAATTATTTAGAATTTTCAATTTTGATCTTTTAAATACTTCAATTATAGATTTACTTTTCAACCAGAAAAGATACTGATATTGAAAATCGAAACATTATTTCTCATCCTGTACATCACTAACACACACACACAAAAAAAAAAAACACGCACATCATTGAAAAATCAATAAATTCATCGTTTCGTTCAGAATCTAAAATATTCAGACTAATTCTATTGTGTGACGTGTTTTATATGTTTTATCGTAGGAATTTGAAAATTATGCATTACATTTATTTGTAGATTTATTTTTACAAACGCTGATAAAATTTTTGCGCTTAGCTT